GTACCCCCTTTCTGCATCAGGACAATTACTGCTGTACCCCCTTTCTGCATCAGGACAATTACTGCAGTACCCCCTTTCTGCATCAGGACAATTACAACCATAACTTCTTCTGCATCAGTATACGTTCTGCAGTACCTCTGTTCTAAATCTGTAAACTTTACAGACATACAGGTACAACATTAGCCTTTCCGAATATGCAAGTGTCACCACGTCCCCTTCTTAAATCTGTTTCATTTGTTACAGTATCCTCCAGCATTAGAGTGTAATATGTGAATATTATTCTAGGCGTTTGAGCCAAAGACTTGGTTTTCAACATTTTGTCCCAAGGTTATTTCAAACGCAGAACACAACTTGCATGTTTTCTCTTTCTCAAAGTAAAACTTCACATAATTTATTGCAAACAGAAAATCTCAAAGCTTTTCTTAATGTCTCTTGGGATGGATTTTTTTCCTCCCTGGGATACAACATGGTCCTTAACTGCTTCATTTCAAGCGTGAAGCTGAACCATTTTCAAACCGAGCTGAAACACGACATGCTTTTAGAAATTGTGCATCTTGACCCGGAAGCCCAAGACAGAGCTCACTTCAGCCGCGCCCCAGATTGATTCGAATACTGAAAGAAAATCACATCAGACCCCACATGGTGTGGAAGTCTTTACCTCCGAGTTAAAATCGTTTAAAATGCGATTAAAGGTGGTAAGCAGCCTTAAAAGAAAAAAAAAATCCATTTTTAAACTATTAGCTTGGAAAACAGTTAATCAAAGAAAAGATATGGGAAATAAAAGGGCTAAATAAATCTTGTCTTAGTGGGAAATTCCAATTATTCCAAAACTAACCTTCATTTTTCTCCTCGCTCATCTGAGCTGGTGTAAGAGCTATGAGAACTATTAAGATCTGTTTTTTTGTATTTTTAGGAACTGAATGCTCCTCCAGGTGGACAACAGATAAGAAGGGGAGAAGCGTGAGGAGGCGTTCTGGCTGGCGCGTGCGGAGCCGGTGAGCGGCAGCGCAGGACGGACACCCCTGCGGCCCGCGGCCCCAAACCGCCGTGACAGGCGTCCAGGGCCACGTGCGTCTGCATCCCTCCCCTCGGCCTCGCTGCTGCGCGCGCCGGACTGGCCTCTTCGCCCAAGCTGGGCACGGAGGGAGCGCGAGGAAAAGGAGAAGGGACAGGAGGAGGGGGAAAAGGGAAGCAGAAACGCAGAGGGCCCGTTAGGGACAAGCGGTCAGCCCCCTCTCCGCCTCTCCTCGAAGCTCGGGAATTGGTGCCGACTGCGCTGTCAGACAGTGGCCCCAGAACGTATCCCTATTCCCTCACTTGACAGGTCCGGTTATTCAGGCATTAGGAATACCCCTGTGGTGTCAGTCTTAATAAGAGAAGAGAGGAAACAAAATGGATTTTCTGTAGCAGCGGCAAAGTACGTACGGGGTACGGCCTGTCAATTCGTGGCAAATAAAATAAAAATGAAAGCGTATTATGCCACTTTATGGAGATAACGCCAGGACGGCCAAGTCAAAAGACGACAACAAAAACAACAGGCCAGGATTACAGCGTCTATGTCACTGCAGTCTGCAGGAGAGTGTGGCTGAAGCTTGCTCACACTGGACTCAAAATACTGGCAGCTTACCTCTATGAGACCATGACCATACATTGTGGGGAGACGACCGAGACCCGAACCAGCCCTGCTGCTGGAGCAGAGACCTGAACCAGATGCTCCAGTCCGGCCACAAATGGGCACCAGCATAGCGTGACCTAACCCTGAGATGGGTCAGAGTGCTGTGCACAGAACAGTCTAGAAGATTACAGAAGAGATGAGCTTTGGCCTGGAGAGACAGAAGGCTCACGTTTGGACTTGCTAACATGAAGGTTTTGGCCTTCTGCTTTACAGTTGCTTGGACTCAAGCCACACTTTAAAAACAGTTAATTCCCCATTGCCGAATGACAAGGAAGAGTCCAGCGCGACTCCCGAACGAGGAGAGAGAAAACCAGCACCCAGCAGAAGTGAAGACTCTCACAGCAGACAGGGCAGCACAGACGTGAAGGACAGTTATGTTGGGCATCTTTGAACTCCCATCGGTTTTGCCAGCCAGTCGCCTTCATCACACACCGGCCACTTAAGCCCCCATCAGACCCTAGTGCTGAAAGAAACAGCCGTGCTCCCTCGGGACGCAAAGACAGTTAAAATATATGGGAGGGTGATGTTAAGTTCTGACTTGGTTCACACAACACGCTCCATCAGCACAATTGAAACAATCTATTCTCCTCTTGGTGCTGTTAGTGCATGAGGATGTGAAAACCATCTTAAATAAAAAAAAATCCTCACAGGGACCCATGAGGGCCCTGAACCCTGCTCACGTTTTGTCCACTGCTGTGTGATTTTTTTTTTTGTGACCAGGCAAGGACTTTACTTACATTGCAGGACTGCACTAGGAACAGCAAAGCACGCGCGTCACTGTCCCGCTCACTGCTGCAGAGCACCACAGGGCCTCTGTCCACAGCACAGCCAGGAGAAGGGGACGCAGTTCTGTGCCATGACAGAGCCCAGTCCTCTTTCACAATGGACCAAGATTTTGTGAGTGTGGCACAGACACGCAGAATGAACACCGTCTGTTACGTGCAGGTGACCGTTCAGTGGAAGGTCCACGTCTGAGGGTCTGGGTAGGAGTGTTTGGTTGCTACAGAGCCCGGCTGGTAGTGAGTGATGGCAGCCTGACCATCCCGGGTCCCGGGACGCCCCCTGGCTGCCCTTCCTGCAGGCCCATCCTGTCGCGACGCCACTCCTGCGGGACAGCACCTGCCCCGGTGCTGCTCGAGGAACCCCAGCTGCCTTCCGAGACGCGCCGAGCCTCAAGGCCCAGTGTGAGCGCGTGTGGGAGGAGCTGGGGCGGGGTGCGGTACCCAGGGCTCGGAGACCGGTGAACAGGCTCCAGGAGAAGAAAGGGGCAGAGTCACTGCTTCCAGCTGTGACCACACATGAACCCAAGACCCCAAGAACCTTCCTCGGCTGACCAATTCTGTTGATGGCAAATGGGGATTTGCACGGTGAATTTCCCTATATTATGACTGGTCAATAAAATATCAGTGTACCGACTATAAGAAACTGCCCTTGATTCCATTTTGATGCAGCTAGATGCAACGTTTTGATGTTGTTTGTATTTGTCTTAACTATCCCGGAGCTAAATAATCTTACAGCTTTCAGTCTTTGCGAGAAGAATGAAAGAGTCTATCGCTTTCACCACCGTGACATTTCAGAAAGCTCTGCACCTTTCCTGACAGGCTCTAAAGGTCTGGCTCTGCTCCCCGTAGGGTTAGGAAGGTCACCCATAATGTCACCACGACCAGTAAGGAAGGAAACAGAGGAAAACGTCTCTGCAGCCAAAAAAATACCCTCCGTTCAATTCCAATTCGGCTCGGCCGAAAGAAAATCCCCATTTAAGAATAAAACACGTGGTCAAAAGTTGAAAAGCGTTCCCAGTGATTCCGACCTGCAGACCCCGAGAGGCAGACGACACCCCTTATCTCTCATCTTCCAGGCCCTGGTCTCCCTGAGGCGGAGGACGCCGGCCAGGGGAGCCGAAACTCCAGCGTGGCTCAAACCGTGGAAACGAAAGGCTGACAATCTCAAAGGAAGAAAGCGACAGCGAGATATGAAGAGGGTCATACGACTCGGGGGAGCAGAGTCGGGGGGCGGGGGCGGGCAGCTGGGCTGGAGGAAGTAGCCCCGCAGGTACCCCCCCCCGCCGAGCGCCGGGCCAGGAAGGACCGAGCAGGAAGAGGAGCTGCAGAGCAGCTGTGTGCGCCAGCGCCTCGCAGGCCGGGCCGGGGAGACAGCTGTGACGGATTCCCCTGGAGGGGATACCCCGGCCCCCGAACGCCCCCGGCACGCCGCCGCGGCGCGGAGCGGCGTGACGAATCTGTTCCCGTCAGGGAACTCCCGCGGAGCC